TTAGATCAGGAAATGTGCTCAAGAAACTGAGCAGAATCCATTGTGAAGCGCATGCGTATCGCGATGAATACAAATGAAAAACCTATTAAGGATCTTGGAGCAACTCAATAATTCTTTACGGTCGCTTCATCGAGTATTAGTATTAGTAGTATTTCTAGTAGTGTTTTCACAGACATGACTACTAGAGGACTTACGAAGCGCGTCGACGATGAGTTTCCTCTTTGAATTGTCATCGAATAATAACATTTTTCAAATCTCACTACATTTACCCAATTCATGAATAGAAAAGCACGGTCATGTTCCCAATTCCCCTTTCTTTGTTATCAATTCTACCACTCTATTTTTTGGAGATTGTGATCCAAATAGCCTTCATGAAGCTTCAGTAGCAGGGCGTAGACCTTGGAAGAAGAGGGGATTTTAGGTGGGTTCGTCACTTTCCTAGGCTTAGTCTTCGTCAGAAAACTTCTTTACTCCCTTCGTCATGCACGTGGCGTTTCCCGACGCGTTTGAGTGAGTACTCGACGTGGTATAAGCGCAATGTGTGCACCCAACAGCAACGTGATGGATTACTGTAACCATCCTATGTTCGTGAACGAGATAGATCTGGTTATTCCGGGAACGTCGCCGGCACGTCAGGCCGTTGTCAGACTTTGGAAATCGAGAAAAAAACTAAATCGCTACTAGCCATTAGCAAAGTCTGATACTAGCTCACTTCATTAAACCAGATATTCTCAGTTTCTCCTTCGTTTCTCTACTTTCATTTTCCAGTTTAATAACCACACCTCATCTGACGCGGAATACATACAGTCCATGCTATTCGCTAAAGAAAAAACAAAATTCGAAAAGAACTTCAGGTTTTCATTAATTTTTATTGTTGATTGCAATATTACGAAAGAAGAAAGCAAAGACAATCAACAAAGAACGTTCAACAATTGATCGTAATTATATGTACAAACAACCAAAACACCACGTTTTCAACTGAACCTTGAATCATCACTAGGATACGCTTTTATTATTCGAACTTCTGCTCGAGGGCGGTCTTGATTGTCAGTATCGACTTTTCCCATATTCTGGACGACCTAGATAGAAAGCTATTTTTCTGTGGAAATGGCTAGAAATTGGAAATAATTTCAAGAGTTTGGAAGCCATAGCTCCCATATATGCACCCTTTTAGAATTTTTCTCCCGTACTCACGTGAGTAGTAAATGCAGACCTTCATCGGGTAATCATAGTATCAAACAGTATACTGATATCGATTTTGGCGGCCGCCACGGAGCGTATGCTGGTTGTAAGGCAGTGAAGCTAGTATCAGACTTTGCTAATGGCTAGTAGCGATTTAGTTTTTTTCTCGATTTCCAAAGTCTGACAACGGCCTGACGTGCCGGCGACGTTCCCGGAATAACCAACACGTCGTGTGCTTCTTGATGCTCGAAATTATTTGACACGACGCTGAGCTGCTAAGCCCGTATCTACCTCTTACTCGGAAAACGAGAAGAGCGTCCAGTATGGACCAAACACCACAAGTTACGACGGCCAAAATAGAAAAGAAGGACCCACTTTTTTCTTGGCCGTCGTCACCTGTGGTGTGCAGTCTGCACTCGACGCTTTCCGAATAGAGGGTACGACTCACGTAGCGCGTGAAAGCGAGCAAACTATGACTCACAGTCAAAAAATGCTACATTATCCCGTTGCGGACGGTCAAACACCGTAACTCCGCATCTTTTAGTCTTCCTCCATCAATAGCATAAGCTTCCAATAATTCAAAATATAAGTGTACATGTTCTTTCCCGGGTCCGAAAGATAAAAAATTATGTTCGGAGAGTGAAAAATGAGATAAATCAAGTAAAACTATGCTTGTGGCAGTGTTGTGCACCATGTTTTCACACGATCTTCAATGGGTTAACCATCTCAAGGAAGACATGAAACACACCTTCATCCCCGCTGCAACCCGTCCGAAAATAGTGTGCTTGCCATCGAGGTGTTGGGTAGGAGCCAGAGTGATGAAGAACTGGGATCCGTTCGTGTTTGGACCTCAAATTCGAACCTACTATCTAGTTACGGAGAAAACAAGTAATAATAGTGCACCTGCGTTTGCCATCGATAGAATACCAGCACCAGTATGCTTGAGCTTCTCCGAGATCTCGTCCGCAAAACGATCGCCATATATCGAAGCCCCACCTCTACCTGATCACAAATCATTCTTATGAAATTGAAAAGCCAAATTTTTAGTAGAGAGATCACCTGTTCCCGTCGGATCACCTCCTTGAACCATAAAATCAGCAATTATTCTGTGAAAAATCGTTCCATTGTAGTACCCTCGACGAGCCAGTTCGCTGAAGTTCCGACAGGTCTTCGGCGCATGATCCCAATACAACTCCAAGCAAATTTTTCCCATGCTAAAATGAACAAGAATAGCAAAAATACTCGAGGAGAGAGAAACGCCTCATACCTCGTTTCCATCATTACGAACGGAGCTTTATCAGTGAGTGACATGACCTAAAACCAGAATCAACCAATCCAATGAACTTGCAAAATTAAGATAGCACAGTTAAAAATGAAAGCATTCAGCTTCTGCGTTCGAAACCGGCGGTAAGACGTCTAATGAGGTGTTTGGTGTTCACCTGCAAATACTACTTTCCTCACGCCAAGCGATACTGCAAAGGCGATGGATGATGGGGCATTAGTCCGATCTGTAGTTTAGTTTCTGTTGGACATTATTGCGTCTAATCTCCACTCAGCAGTTTTCGAACACTCGATCTTGCTATTTTTTGCCGACATGAGTAGAGTTACGCTTAAAGGCTTCATTTTAGTTCACCCATGGACATGCAGAATATCGTGAACAACCTTAAAAGTACTGCTCTAAGTGTTGGCGAGATGTTCACTCCTATCTTGAAAGAAAGCAAGTTTCGAGAAACGGGAGTGCTGACCCCTGAAGAATTCGTCGTTGCTGGAGATCATCTAGTTCATCATTGTTCCACATGGAAATGGTCAAAGGCCGCCGACCCTAGCCGGTACAGTGCTTTTTTTGTATTTCGATAGATTTTTGAAACTCGCAAGAGATACCACTCATCCTCCTAATTTGCTCATAGTCCATATTTCATTTTTCTTTGCAAAATTTTAAATGATTTGGTTCAGGATGCGCAGCGTTAGGTCCCATTTTGGATGCGCAGTCAACCGAACCTCATCGATTCTCTATATCCTTTTAATCGATATACAATTATTCTTTTTCAATGTATTCATTTTCACCATTTTGGTGTTGGAATGAACGCAGTCTAATGCCACAGAGCACTTCCCACATTCTTGATACGAAACTAATTTCTAGAGTATTTATATTGAGGGACCACTCCAAACTCAAGAAGGCAGTTGGAAGATAATTTGAACGTCGCGCTTGACAACTGACAAAGTTCTCAGTAGTCAATTCCTCGTTAAGGTGCACGGTGTAAAGTATTTCCTCGTATTTTCGCGACATTTTACATCCAAGACCTGAACAATTACTGGTATCCTCAAGGAAATGTGTCTTAGTGCATGGCTCGGATCAGAGGAACTTCTTCAATTATGACTGCTTTGTTCATGAATAGCTTGGTGAGAAGCAGTTGCACAGGTCACATAATAATTATTCATTTTCGTTTGAAATTACCCGTTAGGTTTCTGCTGCCAGTGGTAATCAATGTTTTCTGGTAGCTGTCCAACCAAGACCTATATTTTTTTCTGGGCGCAAAGTGCTTGCGGGGGGGGGGGCAGTCTTTCGGAAGTACTAGGACTAAGCCGACGCAGAATGACGAATCGGAGCGAATGAAAAGTGCTTAGGGCTGGGATTCATTCTTTTCCCCCAAAGCTTGGTCCCAAATGTTTTCCTGAATCACGCAGTGTTACAGGCTGCCCCCCCCCGGGATCAGTGCGCCTTTTCGGTATGAGTTTAAGGAAAAAAGCCCTCAAGCTGACGGAAATCACCCATAGAAGTTGTTCCATACTTTATGTACCGCGTACGCCATGAGTCATCCGGGCTTCTTGATCTGTGCTGCAGAGTGCGCCAAATGGCCGATGTCAGACTTTGCGATTGGAGCGATTGTGCACCAATTGCAGGAGCGACGGATCGCTTGAGCGATCCATCGCTGCGAGCGACGGGAGATTTACACCGCCGACCACCGATAATTCGCGCCATCAGCTCGTAAATCTCCCGTCGCTCGCACTTTGGAGCGATGGATCGCTTGATAAGTGCCTTGGCCGTTGTGGCAGGGAGCTGCGAGCGACGGGAGATTTACGAGCTGATGGCGCCGAATTATCGTTGGTCGGCCGTGTAAATCTCCCGTCGCTCGCAGCGATGGATCGCTCAAGCGATCCGTCGCTCCTGCAATTGGTGCACAATCGCTCCAATCGCAAAGTCTGACATCGGCCATTGGCGCACTCTGCAGCACAGATCAAGAAGCC